GGCTGGGGATTTGAACCCGCCACCTTAGGTGTATGTGGCTGGCGCCTTAGCCGCTTGAGCCACAGGCGCCAAGCCTGTAATTCGAATTCTAAAGAAAATATTTTGTTTGGGTACAGTTGCTCACGCCTGTAATCCTAGCACTCTGGGAAGATCACTTGAGGTCAGGAATTCAAGACCAGCCTAAGCAAGAGTGAGACTTTCTCTCTACTTAAAATAGAAAAAAATTAGCCAGGCGGGGTGGCATGCTCTTATAGCCCAGCTACACAGGAGGCTAAGACAGGAGGATCACTTAAAACCCAGGAGTTTGAGGTATTGTGAGCTACAGTGACCCTGCTGTGCTCTAGCTAGGTGACAGAGCAAGACTATGAAAAAAAAGAAAATATTTAGACCTCATATATCTATCCCAGTCGTAAGGGAGAAAGGATTAATTTAAACAGTAATTCTTAGGCTTTAGTACAGAATAAAAAGACTGCATATGGCCCCTCCATTGATGTCTTTGTTGACTTCTGCTAAGAAGCAGGATGCTGTAGGAGAAGGAGTAATCAAAGATGGAATATTGTATAGAGAGTCTCTTGAACTGTGGGATTTTTGCACATAATTCTGTATCTAACTCAATCTAGTACCAAAAGTTAATAATGTATGGGGCCTTAAACTATGTTTTGGGGATACAAACATAAATTGGGGTACTCTAGTCAGACAAATATATAATGGTGTGATAAGTGGTATCTTCTCTATAAAAGAAATAAATCCGAATTGCTATAAGGACTTAGAGGATAGAATCATTGATAATGGTCAGGAAGGTTTGGGAACACATTTGATTAGGTGATGTGTGAACTCAGTATCTGAAATGATGCATTGTATTTGCCACACAAAGAAATAGGAGAAGTCTAACATATAGAAATGAAAAATACTTGAGGTGATGGATATCCTAAGTACCCTGATTTGGTCATTACACATTTTTTTTTTTTTTTTTTTTTTTTTGAGACAGAGCCTCAAGCTGTCCCCCTGGGTAGAGTGCCCTGGCATTACAGCTCACAGCAACCTCCAACTC